GGGTCACAGAAAATTAGACCAACTGTTACCTGAAACAAATTCCACCTACTCTGAGGGGGGAAAAGGCAAGAAGGAAGGCTGGGATGGAGACACTCCTCATTCTCATTTTATTTAAAAACATGACCTAGTAAAAGCCGTGTACAATTACTGAGCACTTATATGCCACATTGAGTGTAACTGCACATGTGCTAACTCACTTCATCCTCAAAGAACCCTATGTAATTTTAATTACTATCCTCTCATTTTACCGTTAATACAGAAGTCCTCAGAAATTAAGAAAACGGCCAAGGTCACACAATTGGTAAGGAGCAGAGCCAGGTTCCATCCCAGGCAGTGTGCGCAGGCTCTTGTTCTCTGCTCCTGTGTGACAGCCAGGAGCCAGGAACTGTGAGGCCAGTCCAGATGCTGCTTCTACTCTCTCTCTCTGAGGCTCGGTTTCCTACCCATCCCACCAAACCTGCACAAGGAATGAGAGACTCCTTTCATATTTATAGAGCCATGTCTAGCTCTACACGCAAGGAACAGGGAAGTCTTTTGGCCATTTGTGATTGTTTCTCTCATCGACTCAATGGGCAGGCATTTACTGATCACTTACTCTGCACAAAGAAATAAAGAGCAGGGGGGTCTACAGAGATGAAAAAGACATGGCTTCCGTCCTCAAGGTCACCGGCCTTAAAGGAGGCAGTGAGCTGTTGTGGGACATAATCATCCCACTAGGAACTGTGTGCCTTCACGGGATATAATGTAACTTGCCGGCTGCAGGCAGTGTGCCACTGCAGGACGTAACAGGCTTGCAAGGAGCAAGTGTGCAGTCATGGGATATGAGTGAGTGACGGGCACTGAGAGGTGCCTTCATTCAAGTGATGGCCTGGCCAGGCAAATCATGCCACAGGCGTGACACTGTTTCCCCACCTACAGTGAGGAGACTGGGGCTGGTGGCGTGCTAACTCTAACACCATGAGCTCCCAGGTCTTTCAGGCAGAGTCTGCGCTTTGTATTTCTGCTCTGCACAGGAGCTCTGCTCACACGGTCTGCAGAGGTGTGGCGCTTTCTCTCTTTGGGGAAGCAATTTGAACGGTGGAGTCAACAGGCCCAGTACAAATCCCAAACTCACTACTTTATTGGCGGTGTAGCCCTGGCATATTCATTACCCTCCGAGCTTCCAACTCCTCGCCTGTACAACGGGGGGCTCGTCTTCTGGACCTCAGTCCTGCCAGGACTAAACGAACCATCATATGTAAAGTGCCTGGCACACGGTGGTGAAGAAGCTGGGTTTTGGGATCAGACAGCACTGAGTTCTAATGTTCTCTCTCCCACCTGCGAGGTAGTGAGGCCCTGAGCACGTAACTGAAGCGCCCTAAACCTTAGCTGCAAAATGCAAAGCTGACATGACTCAAGACACGTAAAAGCAGTTAGAACACCATCCGGTTCGTGGTCGGTGCTCAATAGACATTAATCACCCTCTTCCCAAGATGTACGCCGGCCAGGAACATTTATGCAATTCTTTCTGCGATTTTTATGTGCTGGGCATCGTTCCAGATACGAGTGATTTAAACAGTTTACAAAAAAAAAACCCCACAAAAAACAACAACCCTGCGTGTGGCTCATCTTCATGTCTTAATAAGTATTTATGAATATTGAATACGTGCCGGGGAACTAGACAATCACCTCTACGAGACCTCCATTTGACAGGGAAGGTAACTAAGAAAGATGAATACATGCCAACCCTGCGCCACCGCCCCGGGTGTAGGTTCTCCCAGCAACTGGGTGGGAGGGGGCGTGGGCCAAATTCTCGGCCGGCTTCTCCCTCCTCCTGCGGTCGGGAATGGCCATCAACGACCCCTCGGCCCCGCGGTGGGGTCCCTCGGCCCGGGCTCCGGCCGAGAGTCGGCGCGGCCGCCACGCCCCCAGGGTCCCCCATCCACGCGGGCGGCTGCAGTGCCCGGGTCTCGCTGGCTCAGCGACCCGGCGAGGCAGGAGGGGAACTGAGGCCAGGCAGGGCCGGTCCGGGCGGGGGCTGCCCCGCGGTTCCCCACGACCGAGCCGCGCCGGAACCGCCTGGCAAGCGGCCGCAGGCCCCTGAGGCCTGTGTCGGGCCGCGGCCCGGAGGGATGACTGTGCGCTTCGGCCACCGCGGGCTGGACGTGCCAGGCGCCCGCGCCTCGCAGCCCCCGGCCTGCCCGACGCAGCCTGCCTCGCGGCGCTACCTGCAGATCCCAGCCGGCCGACTCCAGGAAGAAGCGAGCCCGGTCGTCCTCGGTACCCGTCACCGCCACGAACTCCCTCAGAGCCTCCTGCCTCTCCGCCATTTTCGCCCGGTGTGCTCCCCAAACCGCTCCGGTCGTCGCTGCACAGCCTCAGCCGCTCCCTCGCGTTCCGGCCGCTGGTGGGTCCGGCCCAGCTGAGCGGCGCCCGCTCCCAGGCCCCGCCTCACGCGGTGCCTCAGGGAAAGCCTTCCGTGCTGGAAACGCCACCGCTCCGCGCCCTCTGGCGGCCGTGGCGCAGAGCGGCAGCCCGACGGAGCGGGTGGGAGCGGCACGGAGGAGAGGCGGGGCGGGTTTGAAACATTGGGGTAGGTAGAATGAAGGAGTCAATTACTCATGCACTCATCCGGTCTTTGCATTAATGTATTCATTTGTTCATTCACTTGTTCAAATATTTACGGAGTGTTATCCAGGGCCCGATGCTCTTCCAGGGCTGGCGATCCGCAGCGAGCAAAGCAAAGTCTCTGCCCTCCTGTTGCTCACTCACACTCTAGGGAACAAAAGCAGACCTTGAACAGCAGGTCACTCCTCTCTTCCAACCCTTCAGTGCCTCCTCATCTTCTCCGCGTGAGTCTCTAGGGGCCTGCCAGGCCCACGTGACATGAGCCTGCCCCTCCACCGCATCTCTTAGGCTTCTCTCTAGCTTCCTCTGCTCCAGGCACGTTACCCTTCTTGATGCTCCTCAATGTGCCAGACATGCATTTGCATGAGTCTTTGCATTCGCTGCTCCGGCCAGGTACACCTTTCCCTCCTTGCTGGGCAAGGTGCTCCCTCACTTTCTTCAGGCCTCTGGCCCAAGGGCACCTTCTCAGACACAATCCTGTCTTTCAGGTCTTGAGCTTCTTTGTCCTCTTGTCTCTTGCCACCTGCCTGGATGCACTTCACTTTCTCGTCGTACCTTTGCCAGATCCCGCTCATCCTTCTGGTCTCAGTTAGGTATCCTTTAGGCGTCAAGGAGGCCTGTTTCCACATAGACAGTCAGGTGGGGGCCAGGGAGTCTCTCCCATTGGGCAAGATGGCGCAGGGGGAGATTCTTACACTAAGAGGCCCAAAGCCAAAAAGATGAATGGATAGAGAAAAAAAAACAACAACACAAAACCTCATGGGCTTGAACAGAAAGGGGAAATGGGCTTTGAGACAGGAGAACACCATTCTCCCAGGTCACCTGACTAAACCTCTTCCCTTTTGCACCAGCACGTCTCATGATTTTGACTTTTGTAGGGAGCAGGCAGCCAAACCTGTGCTTTCCGTTACATGTCTACATCCCCAGGCTCCCTCAGACAATCTGCTGTGCATTCCCATTAAGTGCCTGCCTTCCCCAAGGGCCACAATCCTGGGGGCAGCAGGGACCAGGGCTGTCTCCAGCATAATATGGCTTAAGAGCACCTGCCCTGGATTCACACAGCCTGGGGTTGAAACTCAGTTATTACTGCTTATATGACCTTGGGCAGATCTCTCTCTAAGCTTCAGTTTCCTATGTGTAAAGTGGAGCTCCCAACAGTACCTCCCTCAGAGGGATGCTCAAGGATTCAGTGGGACGTGCTAAGAGCAATGTTTGATACTTATTAAGCCCTCAGTAAATGTTAGCTGTCATTTTATCTCACCTGACCTGCAATCGCTGGCATTACATAGCCCTAATGACTCTTTGCTGAATTAATTAAGAAGTAAATGAGTGAAACCTTTGTTAGGTGCAAAAATAGAATATTGGGGACTAGCTGTGGTTATGGGAAATATTAATTATGCTCTGTTAACCATGATTGCCTTGTTCTGGTTAAAGAAAGGGCATTCTAACTTGGCTGGAAGTTGTATGCCCTGGGACCTGGGAGTCAACCTTGGACCTGGGAGTCAATTTTGGAATGTGGGCCTCCTGCATGCCCCCCACTCAGGATGGAGCCAGCAACCTGGGCATGTGCCCTTGATTGGAATAGAACCTGGGACCCTTCAGTCTGTAGGCCGATGCTCTATCCACTGAACCAAACAGGCCAGGGCAAAATCTCTTCTTCTTGAGAATGACTGCCCTCCATTATGCTGTCCTACTGCAGGTGCTGTTTCCTTGGGGATTGGACTAGTTGTCGCTCAGAGCAAGGAAGAGGCTGTGTCTATCATTGAGATATTGAGGTGGAAACTACTAGTTACAGCAAGCATGTCAAACTCACGGCCCGCGGGCCACATGCAGCCCACAACAAATATTTTTGAGGCCCAGCCAATATAACGGTATGTAAGAGACATTTTAATAAAAATTTCATAACTTAATTTTTACAACATCCTGTTATACATAATTATTAATACAAACTACAACATTCGCTAATGACTGATTACTATAACCGTGTTGCATTCATTTCCCTTAAGCGCCTTACACACAGGCACACCATTTATCTCCACTAATACTAGCAGTGAATATTTCAGCAGCCCATTGCCACATCATTAGTCCTGTAGTGACTTGTTTGGTGTGCGCAACAGAAAATATTTCGCTTTCGAAGAACAAGAAAAATAGGTTTATTTGCGTTACGCTTATTAGTTTGTGCAGTTATTTAGTGTCTGGTAAGTTAATGTTCAAGAAAAAAATATTAATTTCTATTAATATGTTCTATTATTTTATGTTAACGATGACTCATTTATTTCAGCCCTGCGTATTCAACATGTCTCTATCGAAATAAACTTATGTTTCTATGAAAATGGAAGCTTTTGTTTTATTTGTGGCCCACATCAACTTAAACCTTGTTTATTTGGCCCATGTTAGCCTCTGGTTTTGACATGCTTGGGTTACAGTATCTACTGATATTTACCCTCTATTTCTCTAGTGAAATTTTTCAGCTGCGGATATTGCTGCCAGAATGAAGACTGTAGTTCTCAGCCTTCCTTATAGCTAGGTGTGACCATGTGACACATTCCAGCCAATTAGAGATGATGTGGGCAAATTCCTAGCTGTGCCCTTGAAGGGGAGTGCCATGCTCCCCTTCATTGCCTTTTCCCTGGTCTTGCAGCCTGGGAGGTGGACCTGGTAGCAACATGATCAAGGAATCCCTGGTCTCAATACCAGGAAGCGGCTGTTTTGCCTGGTCTGCTTATGCTCAGATATTACTAGAGAAACCAACTTTGTTCTGGTTTAAACCACTGTTATTTATGAGTTTCGTCAACTTACCAACCCTATATTCCAACTATTGCAGCCACCCAAGCTAGCCACAGTGAGGAAGAAAAAAGGCAGGAAAGTGGAGAGAAGGATACAAATGGAGGCAGTGTGGCTGGGTGAGAAATGCTCAGGGGTATCTTCTGGGAAGTCTCTGAGTTAGAGTTGAAGGTCATGAAAATGTGGAGCGGGGAAGGAAGGGGGAGAGCACTTCACAGGGACTGCAGCAGGAGCAAGAGCCTTGAAGGGAGACCTGGGCAAGGCCTTGAAGGACAAGGAGGGCCTGGACAGGCTGAGAAGAGCGAGGAAAGCACATCCGAGGGGAGCCCAGTGGCAAGTGGGCTATTTCACCAGGTGAACTGAAACCAGGTGTAGGGATGCTGGAGTTTCTCGTGAGTCCTGGGGGACATCTGGAGGCTGGGATTGGAGGCAGAGAAATGGTGGGGGAGTCCTGGCTCCAGTCCGACTCAGAGCACCACTCTAGAACTGACCCCTCATCCATGCCCCAGGCCCCATGCCCCAGGCTAAGATGAGCACAGCTTTGCTCGGCCTGGGGTTTTGACATTTTCTTGCCCACCGTGTCTCCAGCAGGCAGCCAGGGCCAGCAGGAGTGCAGCCAAGGTCACTGCCTTCATTCCCAGGACCACAGCTGTGAGCACAGACAGGAGGCCTGGGGGACACAAAGGAGAGTTCAAGAAGGACCCTAGGTGAGTCCTCAGCAGCCCATACATCAGTGCTCCCTGTGGGCGAGGTTTGGGCTCAGCTGCTCTCTAATTTGGGGGGCCACATTCTTTCTCTTACTGGAAGGGGAGATCCAAGACCTCCCTTCCCCTTGTCCCAGGCCCGGAAAGGGACAATATCCTACCGGTACCTTTAATCATCCTGATAGCATCCCTGACTTCTGACAATATAGTGAGTCCTCACTTAACATCATCCATAGGTTCTGTGACTTTAAGCAAAACATATAATATTTGTAATGAAACCAACTTTACCACAGGCTAATTGATATAAACAAGAGTGAAGTTCTTATGGCATCTTATTCACGTTAAAGCGAAATGATGGAAACTACGTCATCCAAGGCCCTGCTATAATAGAAAACTGCTTTCATTTATTGGCTGATCGACTCCTCTGCCCCAGGTCCTGAGCTAAGCACTTCCTAATTGCCTAGTAGAATCCTCAAACTAATCTTGCAAGGTAGGATAGCAACACCATTCGTATAGATGAGGAGACAGACGCAGAGTAGGGAAGTGATTTGCTCAGGACCACATGTGTCAAAGAAGTGGTGGGCTCCCAAGAATGGCAGGAACAGGGCTGAGCGTCAGGGAGGACACCCTGGAAACCTCTATGCCCAGTTCCCCCAGTCATCGAGCGTCCCTGAGTACTAACAGGTGACGTGAAAGACACAGTTCCGGGCATTCAGCACCTGTGACTCATTGGGTCCACACACAACCCTGTGAGGTAGGCTCTCTGATCCCCACCCCGACACCCCAGGTCACAGAGCAGGACATCAGTGATTCAAGGAGTGAGGCAACCTGCCCACAGCCTCACAGAGAGAAAGGGGCTCAATCCAGAGCCATGCGCTTCAGCACAGTTACGCACAGTTTTACAGTATAATCTTACAGGGAATCACGGGGAGACCACTGCCTCTCAGGGAAGACCGCCTGCTGAACAGCTAGCACTGACTGTGTCTCCGATGGAGCTTTAGCAAGGTGCTCTGGCTTCCCGGAACTCTCTTGGTGGCAGATGGGCCCTAGAAGGGACGACTCCCTTCCCATGGCTAAGCCATCTGGGCCCCACCTTCGCCTGTGGGGTCCTGGTTAATTCCATTGCAGGTAGGAACACTCACTCACCTGACAGAGATCTCCTGGCTACATGTTGATTGATGACTTCTGCCTCTTGGGAAGAAGTGGGCTTTGCTGCAAGGGAGAGAGGTGGTCTCAAGTTCCACTTTTCTTTCTGTCCCACAACTTTCTGAGCCCTGTGCTTGGAGCTGGGGTCACCAAAATGAGCCTGCCAGTTTCTACCTGGGATGGGGGCTATATGTCAGACCTCGTCCCTATAAGGACTAGTTAGACCCGTGTGAGCATCTCTGGGGTTGAAACAATGTCTGATTTACTGCAGTGTCCACAGCACCGAGTACACTGCAGAGCAGTCAACAGGCGCGCACTAGATGTTTGTTGAACCATTAACTATACAAAATTCTATGGGATCCAGAATGAGGAAAAGTGAACTCTGCCTGGTAAAAGGAGAAGGTTTCACAGAGGAGAGGCTATTGATGCTGAGCTTTGAGGGACGATTAGGAGTTTGACATAGAAAATGAGAAAACATTCCAGGCAGAGGGAACAGTTTATGTAAAGGCACGGAGGCTGAGAAAAGCTGGCGTGTTTGGGACATGGTGAAAAGTTCCTTGTGGATAACCTCCCCCCTTTCCCTACCACCGCCTAGACCACCTGTCTTACCTTTCACCCTCAGCCTGGTTCCCTGTCCAGACAGGTATTGCCTGTTAAGTTTCCTCTGAAACTTTACACAGTAGTAGGTGCCTACATACTCCGTAGAGACACCTTGCAAAAGAATGCTGAAATCGCTGCTGGAGGCCTGGACCGCAGTCACATTGGGTTGGGAGATGCCTTCAAAGTTGTAAATGGCTTCACGGCTCAGACCAGACCCCCGGAACCACCTGATGGGCCCGGAAGGACCATCTCCAAGCACTGTGCAGTTCAGGAAGACAGTGTCTCCAGGGGTTGCCAACACCAGCTCCTGGGGCTGGATGATCCGGAGGTTTGGCTCTAGGTTCCCAGCTCCTGAAGCCAAAGACAGACCCTTGTTTTATTCTCTCTTCTTCCACTGTCCACTCATTTCCACCCTTATATCTTTCCTCCCTTCCGCTTCCCTGATTTCTTCACTCAGACACTCCCTCCTATGTTTCCTCATTACTCAGTAGTTGAAGAGAGGAAGGGAGAGGGAAAGAGAGAGAAACAACGATGTAAGAGTGAAACATTGATCGGTTTCCTTCTGCACATGCTCTGAAAAAGGATGGAACTCCAAACCTGGGCATATGCCCTGACTAGGAATCCATCCAGCAACCTTTCAGTGTAAGGGACAATGCTGCAACCCACTGAGCCACACCAGCCAGGGCAATAAAGAAGTTCTCAGTACCGGCTTTGTGTTGATGCTAGAACAGGGGAAAATGGAGCTCAGAAAGACACACAAATGTCCTGTCCTGAAGAAGGTCTCAGTCTGGCTGTGGAGATGGTCCAGGAAATCCCCCTGAGTTTGGAAACCCAGAGAACTGCAGGACCAAGAGAAGGCACCAGCCACAGCTTGGAAGGAGTCAGAGAAGTCTTCCTGAAATGCTTGCATGAAGTGAAAATGGACCGCCCTCTTCCCCCCTACCCCCCCCCCCCGCCCCCATGACCACACTCACAGATACTCTCCATGTCAGCAGTTTACAGAGTGGTTTCACAACATCTGTTCCTTACCCGAATGACTCTTGAAGCAGGAATTATGTTGTCTATTTTTCAAGTTAGGCAAGTGAAGTACATAGAGCTGAAGTGACTGATTTAAGAACACACTTCTATTGAATGACACACCCAGGATTTGGGTATCCAGGTCATCACTGGTGAACTTATAGATAAAATGACTGATTCCTTGGGGAGTGAATAAATGAAATGATCAGCCCCAGTTCTTAACTCCCCTCTGGAACATCCACACTCCTGCCATAGCCTCATGATGATAGGGTACACTTTCTTGTCTATTGAATTTGAGATGAGTCATGTGACTTGCTTTAACCAATGGGCTGTTAGCAGACACTATGCCAGTAGAAGTTTGACATGTACTGGGAGTGTTAGGACTTGACTTCCTGTTCTCCTGCCATCTCCATGAGAAAATGCACTCTGGCTCGTCTGGAATGAGACATACGGAATAGAACCACCCCAGCTGCCTATACTAGTAAATGTGTGAGTGAGATATACTAATTGTTGTGTGCCACTGAGATTTTGTGTATACAGCATGATTGTGGATACAAGTGACTGATGTAGAAAAACAGATCAGAGAAGAATGCTTTAACCTGCAGGGCCTGATACTCACCCTTCACAAGCACTGAGGTGCCTTCATCCAGCTGCATTTCTGAGGGCTCACTCAAGCCATCAAACCTCACACAGTGGTAGGTTCCTTCCTGCTCCTTGGTGACATTATGAATATAGATGGAATAGTCGCAACTAAGTGGCTCCAACGTCTGCTGGGTCACAGGTGCCACCCCAGGGAAGAAGCCATGTTTGAAATTATAAATTTCCTGCTGGTCCTGATTGCTCACCTTGACCCATTTTATCATGGCATCAATGCAGGAGCCGACCACTGTACACCTCAGTAGCAGTGTCTCACCTTCTGCCACCAGCATGGGACCCTCAGGTTGCAGCACCTGCCACTCATTCCCTTTGCTCCTCTCAGAGACTCCTACAATAGACAAAGAAAGGCCTTGAGCTGCTGCAGGAAAGATTTGGAGATCTGAGAGGCAAGCTTAACAGAAACTAGTCATTAGCTGACCAAGAACAATTGCTCAGGACACTCTAAGGGTTGCTGGAGGGGGAAGTGAAAGAGGAGATGAGGCAACTGGCTGGAGAGAACAGAGATAGTGAATGGAGAACTTACAAATAATAGATGGCACTTGAGTACTCACCATGGCCAGGCACTGCCTGTATTATTGCATTTATTCCTCCCAGCACTCCCTTGAGGTGGGCAGCATCATCCCCATTTCAGAACAAAAACAGGGAGTACCCAGAAAGGTTAGGTAACTTCCCCAGGTTCACCGTTTTTGGGCTGAATGGTGCTCCTACCCCCACAATTCATATGTTGAAGTCCTAACCCATGTACCTCAGAACATGACTGCATTTGGTCATAAAGTCTATAAATAGATAATTAAGTTAAAATGAGGTCACATGGGTGGGTCTTAATCCAACATAACTGGTGTCCTTATAAGAACAGTAGATTAGGACACGCGAGTGCGCACGCGCATACACACACACACACACACACACACACACACACACACGGAAAACCACATGAAGACACACGGAGAAGACAGCCATCTACAACCAAGAAGACAGGCCTCAGGGTAAATCAACCCTGTAGACATCTTCATCTTAGACTTCTAGCCTGTAGAATTATATAAACAAAAATTCCTGTTATTTAAGCCAGCAGCCTGTGGTACTTTGTTACAACATCCCTAGCAAACTAATTCACCACCCCCAAAAATGTGACAGAGCCTCAACCCAAACACTTAAAGCCTGTTTCTAGAGCCCCTGCTCTTAACCCTCAAATGGGGCACACAGAGCTTAAGTGCTGTGGTGCTCATTGTAAGTACCCCCCTGCCTCCTGTGACTCCTTCAATGCTTGTTTTTTTGTGTGTTTTTTAAAATATTTTATTGATTTTTTACAGAGAGGAAGGGAGAGAGATAGAGAGTTAGAAACATCGATCAGCTGCCTCCTGCACACTCCCCACTGGGGATGTACCCACAACCACGGCACATGCCCTTGACCGGAATCGAACCTGGGACCCCCCAGTCCGCAGGCTGACGCTCCATCCACCGAGCCAAACCGGTTTCGGCGCCTTCAATGCTTGTTGATGCACTGTGAAGTGAGTCTATCTGGGGGGTAGGTTGAACTTTGAGGTTGGCCTCAAACTAAGTTCAGAGAAAGAGGGTGGAGGCCACCGATGGAAGTTCTACACCCAGGTTATGAACATCATAGGTACCAGCACTCTATGAGAAGGGTGCTATTTTACTACCTCTGTGGTTTTTTCTTTTAACTTAAAAAATACTTTTATTGGTTTTAGAGAGAGAGGAAGGGAAGAGAGATATATACAGAAATATGGATGCCCCTCCTGCATGCCCCTCACTGAGGATCGAGCCTGAAACCCAGGCATGTGCCCTGCCCAGGAATTAAACTCTATGACCTCCTGGTTCATGGGTTGATGCTCAACCACTGAACCACACTGGATGGGCTATTATGTCTATTTTTGAGATGAGAAAACTAATGTCAGAGAGTTGAAGAAACCTGAGGTGAACCATGCATTCAGTAGGTATCATGGCCAGGATTGGAGTGCAGATCAGTGCTGCGGTCCAACCCCAGCGGGTCCAGGGGTCCCCAAAGGTGTGGACAGAGTCGGCGAAGAAGGAATGACACGGAGACAGCCTTCAGTTGATCAGCAGCCTAGCCAGGACCTCTAGCCAGGATCTCCAGCCAAGTTCTGGTCAGGATCTCCAGCGAAGTTCTGGTCAGGATCTCCAGCGAAGTTCTGGTTAGGATCTCCAGTCAAGTTCTCTCGCTAGGTTCTCCAGCCAGGTTCTCCAGGTTCTCCAGCCAGGTTTGGTCGCCAGGTTCTCTAGCCAGGTTCTATCCAGGTTCTCCTGCCATGTTCTGTCTAGGTTCTCCAGCCAAGATCTGTAACACAGGTTCTGTCCAGGATCTTTTGCCATGTTCCTCT